GGGGGGAAGCGGGTCCTGTCTCCGGCCCCGGCCGTCTGGGGGGGAACGCTCTGAACCAGAAAGGGGGGGAGGGGGGAAGGGGGGGCAGAAACATGACTGTGTAACCCAGTGAGTTCTTAGGTCATCCTGGAATGGAGGAAAGCTGCATTCAAGGCTTTGCTAGAAAACCGGCAGAACGGGGATTTGAAGTAGGTTGCTCACCTCAACAGCCAGTGGTCTAACAATAATCCCGCAGAGTGCTCTCGTAATGCCCAACCGCGTCCCTGCCTGCGGCATTTTCAGCTGGCAAGTTCAGGGTCTCTGGTCCATGGCTTCGGGGAAGCCCTTTCCCAAAGTCCCCGACGTTCCCACGTGTGGCACCTGGAACCTAGAAGGGAGGCGATGCGCTCGCCACGCACACTTAGCTTCAGCGGTATCTAAGTAAAACTTCAGCTGAAACTCCGCTGGAATTTAGGACAACAACGTGTAGGATTTGCCAGTGGCTTTAGGATTAAAATCCTTGGGGGGATTGTATCATGAGTTTGATAATTGCTAAAAATGGGCTGGACTACGTTTTGTTCCTCATTGAACAGGCAGTAACTCTTGCAGGGCTGTGCTCCCCGGTAGCTGCTCTTCTAGTGCATTAGTTCTTGCTTAGAGAGAGAGAGAAGCGGCATCTCTTGATCACCAAAACCACTTCCCACAACACTAGGAGCTGATGAGTTGAAGCTGTTTTGAGATCTTAGGAGACAAGGGCTGTATGTTCTGTTTTTTTTCTGCGTTATAATAGACTTATGTGAAATCTGTGCCTACTGAAGTCAATGGCAAAACTGTCATTATAAAATTTCAGGACAAAGAATTCACCTTAGGCCTCAGTGTTTATTTTCAGTACGTGTAACTCCTTGCAGCCCGATCTAGTTGTGTTTTAGCTTCACAGTTTAGCATGAGGAACGCTGCTAGCAGCGCTGACCTCTGTTCACACAGAGCTTCTTCTCCACAACGTATAGGTGATACATTGGCAAATCTCCACGCAGGAGATACGGATCTTGTCGAGTTTGTTCTTGCTCAATTGTGCTGTTCAGGACACTCACTAAGAAATGTACATGGGATAAATTCAAGAATGGTGAAAATGACTAGGGAGAAAAAAATGGAAGAAGGAAATAAAGGGAATTTGGGAAGAAGGTAGGCTGTAGGAGGAGGAATGAGGAGAGCAGTGCGGCGTAGGGGAGGGCAGAATTGGCAGCAGCCCGGAGGTGGCAGGTTAAGGCTGAGTAACGCTCCTTTAACACATTACAGCAGCTCTCACGCTAGGTAACTTAGGCATCCTCTTTCAGGAACCTGCCTAGGTCGTTAGTTTTCCTAAACCCACAATTAATTTTAATGAAACCATTCTCCTTTTTTAGATCAGCTTCAAAGGAAAAGAAGAGGAGGAGTTTCTCGCTTTCCACATCAACGGATTCAGGATGGACATGTCACAAGATGCCACCTACTACGGGCACGTGGAGGAAGTTTCTGCTCCGTGGCATACACACCTGAGATATAAACTGAGTATTTTAGAGGCAGTCTGCTCCTCGTCTTCGGGATCATCTCGCAGCACAAAACCAAGATAACAAGGCCACAGTAATTGCTTGCAGGCCCCGACTTACTAGGCGGCTACGAGGCGGCGGAGACCTGTTAGCACAGCGGTCGCACGGCCCCTAGTTTACGCTGCAGACCATAAACCACTCTCCGTTCAAATGTTACAGAAAATTATATCTTCTCCATCCCACAGGTGGGGAACTGTGTCTGTTGTAAGGAGTTACATGTACTGGGGGGGGGAACCCACCAACTACAGAAAAGCGCGTTTCAGGTCCTGCAGCGAGGAGTTCGTCTGCCGGGCTCCCCC